GTGACTCGCTTCCTGCGTCTGTCAGAGCGCGACTGCGCCCCACGGCCCCGGACGCCCAGGGCAGAGCTGCCGCCGTGCGCTGGGACCCTCCGCTGCGGGGAGAAACCGCCCCGCGGGCTCAGAGTGGGGTAAAACCAGCGGGTTGAGGCTGAACCTGCTTCCTAGCGCTGTGCCCCCCCACACACTTCCATTGCATCACGGCCCCTTTCCCAGGCCCTTCAGGGGCCTTGGGTCAGATTTCTGCCTCTGGAAATGCCTCAAGATGTTGGGGCTGGGCTAACCCCATCCTGGAAATCCCCCGACGGGAGGGAACCAGCCGGGTTCAACCCAGAGCTCAGCGAGGAAGAGGGGCACGAGGCAGCTGGGGCAGGGGGGCTGCGCCCACCCCTGGGAGGAGAGATGAGAATCCAGCAACCCCAGCCTGACCTCTGCACGGCACAGCTGCCCGGCCCTTCCTTCCCCCTTCAGAGTATTGATTTTAAAAGAAACCAAGTCAAGCTACCCTGCAGCACTGACTTCTGAAGGAGGCTCTCCTCCTGCCTGTTCTTCGTGCAGTGGGAGCAAAGCCTTTCCTCTGGTATTTAATTACCTTTTCCATCTATTTCTAGCACAACTGGAGACTCTGCTTACCCCGAAACACACTAGTGGACCCCTCATTCCTCTTTACAAGCCCCCTCACTCCCTCTCCTCACTCACACCCGAGTTTCTCCTGCCCCAGCCCCTCCCTCCCGGGTTCCCTTTACACCTCCGTGTGCTCTGGGGGGGCTGCGAGGCCGAGAGCAGGCAGCGACACAGCCAGGGAGGAGGAGGGTGAGGGGGGGCACACTCCACCCAGACGGAAGCGCTGGTGAAGGACGGCTCACCGGCCACCCAGGGGGGTCCCACGGAACAGCCCTGGGTCACCTCAGCCATTCCCCTGCTCCTGCCCATGGCTGTGCCCCGACACTTTTTGGGAGCCTTCCGCACCCCCTGCTGCAGCTCAGCCCCGGGGCTCCCCCTTTCAAAGGGAACAGCAGCGATTCCTGCACCGGTCCCTTGGTTGTACCAGTCCAGCTGTAACAGAAGTAAAAACAAACATCCCCCCCCCCCCAGCTGAAGTTATCTATTAAGGCACAAGGCCACCGGCTCTAGAATCCTGCAGCATTTTTCTACCAGGGACCCCACTACAAACAGCAGAAATCTCTTCACCTGGTTAAAAGGTCTGAGCCCATCGCCGACACATCGCCGACACATCACGTACCCCCCGGCACGGAGCCACCCGAGCTGTCGCTGTCCCGCCAGCTGGCTGCCTCAGGGGGGCTCCTCTCCCACCGCCAGGACCTGACCTTCCAGACCCCGAGGTTTCAGCTTTGGCTTTTGAAACCAAGCACTATTTCCAGGAGCACCCAATCTCCTTGTTTTTCATTAACTAGAAGCAGTCATTGCCCTGTGCGAATGTGGATAAAGACCATGAAGTTCTTCAGCAAGTGGGATGAGAACAGGCCGTGGCGCAGCACAGCAGGTCGGAGGGGAAGGCTCTCGCACAGAAACACCAGCGCTGCTTTTCCTACCGCGCTTCCTTCCCAGTCCGGAACGAAACTTTAGAGCGAAGTCGTGACACGTTACCGTTTTGTACCGTCACCTGACACAGATGTGCTATATATAACCGGACACGTGTTTACTCTCGGGCTGTGCACTGAAGCCGCAGCACAGCCCGCACCCTTCACCCCGAGACAGCTCCGAGGGTCCCGTCCTGTGCCTGCACCCCCCCCACCACGCGGCCGCCCCCTGCCCCTGCGCCCAGGCACCTTCAGCAGCGCTGAGCACACACTGAACGCCGCACACGCTACTATCTGCGCAGCAGTTCAGAGAAATTGGATTTTTTTTTGACCTGTCACACCGCATCAATTAACAAGCCCATCAATACCCAGCCATCCGACCGCGTAGGGAGATCAAAGCTCGCCAGAGGAACCCCAGGGAGGAAGGATCATTTCTGACCTTCCCGGAAAGCCAGCCAAAGCGTGGAACGGTCTTCCAAAATGCCACCAGAGACCAAATAATTCAACTCAGCAGTTTTTATTTATGTAACACAAGTTCTTACTTCGCCATGGGTTTCACACGGCTGCCTCCATTCAGTACATAAACTATACGCTGCATAATAATACAGAAAGTTCAGTAAAATGTCAGCTTGTGAGTATAAAATGTTAATCTGCTGATTGCAAGAGAAGCAGCACATATCAGCGTTCCACCAGGAAAACAAAACACACCACGCCAAGTAACACAATGGCCGAGGCAAGAACAGCACTAATTAAATCCAGCAGCAAGCAGCAAGCTGCTGGACAATAACATTAAAAACCATTTTTCCTGTAATTTACAAATATGCAAAGTATCAGGTTACTTAAAATTAAGAAGCATTTTGCTTACTAACATGAAACATTACTAATTTGTAATGTATCATAATTAACCAGGATACAGGTTTCTGCGTCCCTGTGGTTTTCATGGCACATGGTGCCAGTCTGGGTAGGTCACTCCTAGGACAGTCAGAGGGAAGAGCAGCAACAGACAAAACCCTTCCTGGGGAGGGTTCTCGAGCAGCTGTGTTCCACACTCCCCTTCAGTTTGCCACTCAACAACCTTGGTTGAAACACAAGATGGATGTATTTAAAAAAACATAACAAAACACACAGATACAATGTGTATCAACGAATCAACTGCTTCTGGCCGGCGAGCGCAAGGAACAGCTCTGCGTTCTAAGCGCACTGAAACTCCAGGACCAGAACCAATTACTACAGCAATTGGGTTTGCATATTTAAAATCTGTTACAGTATCTACAGTAAAAAACATCTTACTGCGTGAGAGGGAAAAGGGGAACAGTCTCACCAAGTAAGTCTTACTCTACATTTTTGGATGCTGCTATAGTCTGATGAAGCTGAAGGGGACAGGGAAACATTAGTAAAGATCAAGCAACGGCTTTACAGAGAAAAATATTACGGATTCCTCAGGAACAGTACTGGCAGCAGCCCAGACAGGCCTGCAGCTGCTTTACTGAATGCTCAAAGCTATTGCTGTCGGAAAACAAAAGGCACAAACATCATCCCGAGCCTTCCCGGGCAGCGCTGTGCAGAGACAGCCCAGGAGCCACCAGGCCAGGGCTTGGAGCCCACCAAGGGCATCGCCCACACGCTCCACCGGCTCTTCCCAAACACGGGGCTGGCCCGGAGCTCAGAGCAGCTGAGTCAGGCCTTGTCCCGGGACAGGACGGCACCCCGGCTCCTCGCACCTCCGGGAGCTGAGCACCTTGCTCAGCACTTGCGGTACGTACCGAGCAGCCTCTCGGGAGCGGGTGGGAAGGGCCCTTACAGAAGTGCGCCAATAAAACCCAACTGAAGTCAGCTAAGCCTAGCTTTGTACTAGACTCATAATCCGACATTTTCCACAGATCTGCATGGCAGGTTTAGCAAAGAGGCCTAGTTAAGAGCCAGGAACAGCCTTGACAGTGCACTTCAGTTCACAAACAAGCCTCACACCACCGCACAGGCAGCTCCCCCTTCTCTTCCCCAAGCCCCAGAGCCCCCCGCCGCACGCCTGGCAACACACTAAAGCCATCTCAGAACAGCTGAATGAGCGGAGTAAGGCCACGTCTGGTTCTGAACAAGTGCAGAAGTTTAGGCTGTGTCTGACTCACACAACCCCAAAGGAAAAATCCTGCTCTGAAGCTGCAGCCTCTTCCGTTCAGCACCCGGAGCCTCTTCAACAGCCTCTGGGGCAGAGGGGACCCCAGGGCGCTCTCACCTCTGAGGGACACAGGTCTGGCCCGGAATTTGCTGCGAGCCTACCACATCTGGTACCCAGCCTCCAGCCGGAGCCTGGTACTGCCAAGGAGTGAGGGGGAGCCCTCAGAAGGCACCTCTGGCAGCTGCCGTGCGAACCCCGTGCCCGGCGGCCTCGTACCCGCCTCAGATCCCGGGGTTCTGAGACTTGTACGTCAGGATCTCTGCAGCCAGCCTCTGGGGGTCCAGCAGCCGCGGGAATCGGCTCATCACAGCATCGACCAAATGGGGGTGGAATATGCCACACAGCTTGACGTGCACGCTGGCCCGCTCCTCCGCAAACTGGTCGGAGATTGCCCACTGGCAGGAGTCGGGGTACGCAGGCCCCGGGGCTCTGGGCACGGCCCGCGGGTCCCGCCCGCCGGCGGGTCGCACCTGGGCGGGCACCGGGTACGGCTCCGACCAGTAGTCGCGGGAATGGGGCGCGGGGGCGCTGTAGTCACCGGGCAGGCTGTACTGCCCGGCGCTGGCCGGGTGCACAGGCACCGCGTAGCCTGAGAAAGAGTGAGGTGGTCCTGAGTGAGACACCTCGGGGCTATACTGCAGGAAGCTAGCACCGGAGGAAGAAGATTTGTGGGAACCATGCTTGTAAGAGAGCAGACCGTTCTGCTCCAAGCTGGGAGGATGGGGGTAGACGGGTCTCTGCCTGCCACAGGTGCAGACGGCCACAGGATCGGCGTGGGAATGGTCACAGTGACCGGCGGATCTGTAAGGCCACATGTCAGACAGCTGGTTCTCCAGAGACCCAATGCCCGAGTCGAGGTGCTCCTGAGAGATGTAAGACACAGAGTCCACGTGAGGCTGCTGGTACCTGTCCGAGGGCCTGTGGCTCCCGCCGTTGGGCGGGACAGCGCCTGACACACAGCCTTTGACCTGAAGCGCAGCATCGCTGGGCTTGGCTTTGGGTGTCAAGCTCTTCCTCTCTGCAGAGACCTTCTGCAAAGAGCTTTTGTCACTCTCTGCGGGCAGAGAGCACAAGAGCTCTGCCTGGGAACCCCTTTTGCCCTTTTTCTCCTCCTTGGCACCGGTACTTCTGGTAGGAGACAGCCTTGCATTGGCTCGGAGTTCATCAGCTAACGAGCGCTGGGGCTGATTGATCCTTTCAGGGTGGTAGAATTTACACTTAATTCCATAAGTGCATTTCTTCCCTGAAAGGAAAAGCAGAGCATGGAATGAGCACGGAACAACCAGCTGAATTTTACTAAGTACATGAATTACGCTTGCACAGACACCTCGGTCTTGACCTTGAGAAGGCAGGTCTTACCGTAAGGGCACTGCTGCTTCTTGTGTTCTGGCACCACAGGCTTCTTTCTGAGAAAGTTATCCAGGCTGGGGCCATGTCGCCCTAAGGGATCGTCTGGAGGCATAAACCTAAAGAAAAATAAACCTCCATCAGGAGCAGTTCACTTTCTTGGGTCAGGCTTTAGTTTCTTCTCGCAGTCCCCATTTCATTGAAGACTAAAAGCTACCTGAGCCCTAAGCAGCATCCCCCTCGAGTGCAGAGATACCCCTCCCATCACCTGGTAAAGGCCGGCACCAAACGCTTCACTCTGGGCACAGGAGAGGTTTTGTGCTGCTGACCAGAACTAGCACTTGCTGCTGGGCCTCCTAATGACTGTCCTGTGAGGAAACCAAGCCCTGGAGCTCTCCTAGGCACTCCAGTACAGCAGAGCTCCTAGCTCCAAGCCACTGGAGGAGGCTCCAATTCCTCATGCCTTTGTACCTCACCACAGCTGGGCGGTTCTTCCCACCACACTTCTACCAAAAAAAATCTCTACTTCTTTTTCATTCTGTACCAGCATTTTGCTCTTTTCACACACCACTTGATATTGCTTCCTTAAAACAAGACAGCATGCTCACACTGAACTTCTCTAAAAGCAAAGGGAGGATGGGAACATACTTGTCGTTAACAAAGGAATACATCAGCAGGCGCTCCTCGATGAATTTCTTCCACTCCGGACGCTCGTTCTGCAGGTCCCGATAAGTGTCGTTAGAAACCACAATGCCATCCGACTCGTGTGCCAGTTTCACAATGAATCGATCATCATAACAGACAACACGCTTGCCTCCAACCCGCCTGGAAGGAGTGAAGACCAGAATTTTCTTCTTTTCAAGGTCACGGAGAATGTACTGGTCTAGAACAAACACAACTGTGAACAGACGTACACAGCCCAGAGGCCTTCGTACAGATAAAGAAACATTATAAATTAACGACAGAGTTCACAAAGTGCTTTCATCTCTCCACAACCCAGGCTGTATTCTCATCTCTTGCACCTTCCTCCAGGCTGTCAGAGGTGGTTCCCCAGCCCTGGTGCCCGCAGGGCACCCAAGAGCACTCAGCACCCCAGAGCCTGCAGTAATACAGCAAGTCTCATCCACAGAATTCTTTGCATCCAAAGCAAACTTGCATTTAAGACTGGCAGGGAGTTCTCTTTCCTAGTGCCATGCTCCATGCACAGATTTCTGGGTAGAGCTACTTAGAAATCTTCAGCTGTTTGCAAGTTCAGAGTAAACTCCCCTCAATTTGAATAATTCTGACTAAACCCCATCAAGCCTTAACTTTTAGCATGGAGAAATTCTGTACAGTCTACAGTGTCAGGTACACAGCATGAAGATGTGCCCCCGAAAGGGGAAAAAATTCAAATAATATTAAAAAGACAGCAAGTTAGGAAGCACAGCAGTTACTACAGTCTTTGCTCGCTGGCTTATTCCAAGTGATCCAGGCAAGAACTTGCTTAGGGGAAAAGTTAATGGCTAATTCTCCCTGGTCAGCTCAGCTTACTGGATCTCCTACCACTCAGATCTTCCATTCATAAGTTAATTACTGACTAGCCAGACTTTGCAAGCTCATTAAGTGACAAAGCAGTAAGCCTGAAAAGCTACTTTTGGTTTTCATATTTCCACACCTGTTATAAGTACATCTGGTCGTGGCTGCTCCTTCCTCCAAGACGGCACAAAGACTGTAATGTCCTTGTGTCCCCTGTCCCAAAACCACTGGACAGCCAGAAGGATACCTCGGCAGGAGAACACTTCTTTATTTCCATGGCTGCATCGAAGAAAATTAAGGATTTCAATATTCAGGTTACGCACAGACTAGTCAGGCAATACACTAAGCAAACGGATCCAGCAGTTCAGGCAACCTTCGGGGGAGAGTGGGAAGAGCAGCAGAGTCAGCGTTTGTCACTCCGCTTGTGTGAGCGGCAGCACCAAGAGCCTCACAGAGCGACCGGTGCTTTGAGCACCTCCGCATACCAGGGAACCCCCAAATCCTCCCTGGGAGGGAGAAAGCAGCTGGAAGCACCGCAGCTGCTCCCGACAGAGCCTTTGCTTCAACTCTGGACTCCAGGACTTTATTTTTAGCCTGAGCACAACGTGATCTTGAACACCCTTCGCCCTGCTCCGCCAGCTAGTGCCAGCGGCCAACCTCCGCCAGCGTAAACTGCACCCTCACAGGGTGTTCTGCTTGTGGAGTTATTCCGATAGCTAAAGAAAAACATTTTGTGCACTCTTACCTCAAGGACATCAGCACTGAGGAAAACACTTCTGCGTTGTATTATGGCCCCAAAAGTCAGTTACAAATGCACTATTTGCACAGAACAGCCACATCTCCTGCTAACAGGGTCGGTGCCAAACGTCTTAACAGCACTTGGCAGTTTGAGAACAAAGTTTGACAACAGCATCAGAAGCTGCATACCGGCACAAAAAGCAGCTTCTTAATTCTTTATTAGGTCATATCAAATAAGTTTCCAGAACTTCTAAGAGGAAACTACCACTCCTGTTTTACAAGTGCCAGTATTTACAGTGTAATCAGCTCTTCTGTTGATAATTGTGCTGGCAAGCTTTCAACTTTTCTGCATTACAGCCCGACTTGTCACTCTGAGGATCTCAGCTGCCTGCGTTTCATGACAACACTCCGGTAAAAGATAACTGGCCTCATAATTCAGTGAGATTTTTCCCCACCTGGGCACTGCCCCTGCCCCAAGTCTTACTCTTCCCACCTACACCTGAATGACACTTCGGCTCTGACCCCCCCTCAGCACGCCAGCCAACTCCTCCATAAAGCAATTAGCAAAGAGCTTTCACCCCGGCCGAGGCATTTTAAGAACTATTACTGCAGCACCACTGGAAAGAAGCTTTACTTCTCCCATCCTCACCCTTCTCTGAAACTACTAAGAGAACTGAAGCGTTGTACCCAAATATGTATTCTAAAATCTATACATTTAGCAATGAAACTAACACCCAGAGACACACCCGAGGTACCTGCATTAAGAATCCTAAATTACAGAAAGGCTGATAGTAACAATCAGAAGATGCTCTAAAATTTTTCTCCGGTGTCAGACTGGTTTTGCTACAGCCAGCCAGACACAGCTTACTATAATCTGTCAGAGATAAATGCGAAAACCAGATTTTTTGTTGTTGTTTTTCAGTCCCTGCTACCAATCTCACATCTACAGAGGGTAGCTATTTGGGCTGATCTGATTTGGCAGCAGCCAAGAAAAAATTCCCTTAGAAGGAAGTAAAAGCTAATTTCCACTATGATTTGCATATGTTTGTCAAGAGCTGTTCAGGGAGGCCGCTGTACACACTGCAAATGAATCAGCAGGGAACATCACACCATCAATACAGGAAGTTTCAGAATGGAATTCCCCTTCTAGCAAATTGCTTAAAAAAGCCAAACTGCTTTTCTCGTGTCAAACTCCGTCCTATCGGCAGCGCTGTTAGGGCCGGGCCTGCCCCGGGTCACGTGTGCTGTGACCCCTCCTGCGCTTTTTGGGGTAACTTCCATGGGTAAGAGGCTCCTCAAGCAAAAACCCCCACCACGTCCGCTGTTGAAGCCTGAGCACTTATCTAAGGTAAAACTTGACTGCAAGAGCCACGCTCATCAGCTCAGGGCTCACAACGGGCCACGTGCCTCGAGTGACCGCAGAGCTGCTGGAGAGCCCCGAGGACAGGGCTGTCCCCGCTGCAGACGCCCAGGTCACATCTTCCCCTCTCTGGTTTGATCACTGTCACAACCCCTTAGCTGCCCCGGGACTCACAGGCCGCCCAGCAGACTGGACCCCGTCTTTTCTCAGACCTGTCAACCACAGCTTAGAAAACTCGACAAATCCCCCATGCAGCTCTCTCGCTCCCCTCAGAGCAGGGGCGCACGCAGCCGCTCTGTCTGCGCCCAGGTTTATTTTTTATAACAAAGTCTGCGTAGGCAAACGTGCCCTCCAGCCCCGTGAAGCCGAACCGCGGGGAAGGAAGCCCTCGGACCACAGCGGCTGAGCCCGCTTCACGAACCTGGAGCACTAAACCAACAGCGCCCAGACCCCGCTGTGCCAGGGAGGGCACGGGGGGGCGGGCAGGCCCC